ATGTCTCTGCTTTTTGATATGCTGTCTAGGTTTGTCATAGCTTTTCTTCCAAGGAGCAAACATCTTTTAATTTCATGGCTGCAGTTTCCGTCAGCAGTGATTTCAGAGCCCAAGAAAATAAAAGTCTGTCACTGTTTCCACTGTTTCCCTATCTATTTCCCATGAAGTGATGGGACCAGATGCCATGATCTTTGTGTTTTGAATGCTGAGTTTCAAGGCAGCTTTTTCACTCTCCTCTTTCACCCTCATCAAGAGGCTCTTTAGTTCCTCTTCACTTTCTGCCATCAGAGTGGTATCATATGCATATCTGAGGTTGTTGACACTTCTTTATTCCAGCTTGTGATTCATCCAGCCTGGCATTTCTCATGGTACTCTGCATATTAGTTAAATAAGCAAGGTGACAATATATAGCCTTGACATATTCCTTTCCCACTTTGGAACCAGTCCGTTGTTGCATGTATGGTTCTAACTGTTGCTTCTTGGCCTGCACACAGGTTTCTCAGAAGACAGGGAAGGTGGTCTGGTATTCCCATCTCTTAAAGAATTTTCCACAGTTTTTTGTGATCCACACAGTCTAAGGCTTTAGCACAGTCAGTGAAACAGATGTCTTTCTGGAATTCTCTTGCTTTCTCTATGATCCAGCGAATGTTGGCAATTTGATTTCTGGTTCCTCTGTCTTTTCTAAGCCCAGCTTGTACATTTGGAAATTCTCAGTTCACATACTGCTGAAGCCTAGCTTGAAGGATTTTGAACATAACCATACTAGCATATGAAGTGAGCACAACTGTCCAGCAGTTCAAACATTTTTGGGACTGCCCTTCTTTGGAATTGGAATGAAAACTGACAAATTTGCTGACATTGAGTGTAGCACTTTACCAGCATCATCTTCTAGGATTTAAATAGCTTGGCTGGAATTCCATCACCTTTATCCACTCGCTTTGTAATGCTTCCTAGTAATGATGCAGCTACTATTGAAAAAAGTTTGAAGTTTCCACAAAAAGTTAAAAATACCTTATAGTTTAGTAACTCCACTTCTGGATATTTATGCAAAGAAAACAAAATCAGTATCATGAAGAGATATCTATACCATGTTCACTACAGCATTGTATATAATAGCCAGGACATGGAAATGACCTAAGTATCCACTTATGGATGAATGGATAAAGAAGATGTGAGATAGATACATACCTATCTACACACACACACATACATACATACATACATATATATATATATATATATATATATATATATATATACACACACACATACACAGAAGGAGACATTAAAATAGGAAGTCCTTCTTTTGCAACAAGATGTATGGACCTTGAGGGCATCATTACTCTAGGTAATGGGTTGGCCAAAAAGTTTGTTCAGGTTTTTCTGTATCATCTTATGGAAAAACCCAAGCGAACTTTCTGGCCAATCCAAAAAAATATGTCAGAAAAAGACAAAACTCTGTGATCTCACTTATATGTGGAATAAAAAAAAAAATTGAACTCATAGAAAGCAAAGACAGATTGGTGATTCCAAGAGGCAAGCAGTGGGGAGTGACCGAAATGGGTGAGGCAGAAAAGATACCTCAAAAAAGTGATAAGTTCCGGGATACAGTGTCCTACTGTTGACTATACTATATTGCATATTGCATATCTGAAACTTGCTAAGGAAGTAAATCTTAAAAGTTCTCATAAGAAAAAAGTACAAATGTGCAACTATGTGAGGTAAAGGATGTTCGATTTACTGTAGTGATTACTTAGCAATGTATAGGTATATAAAATTATATCATATACCTTAAACTAACACATTACATTCCCTCTGTTAGATCAGAAACTACATCCATCAGGACAAGCCTGTTAAATATTCATTTCTATGCTACCTTTGCTGATTTAAAACTACTTATCTATATCAACAGTAGAAATAAGTTAAAATCCCCAGACAAATCTTGGGCAAGACAGATCAAGAATGGAAGGGAGGGAAAAAAAAGCAATATTACAAATGTAAAGTAGAATATAACCAACTCAATATCTATATACTAACATTTTTGAAAACTTAGAAAACATGGAAAAGTGTCTTGAAAAAAAGATACATACCTTATGAGATGTGAAGAAGAAATTAAAAGCTCTAATAGTCCTGCAACTATTAAAGACATTGAAGCATCTGTTTAAAATCTTCCCACAAAGATGAGGTTAGATATTATGAAGAGTTATAATGATATGTTTTTCTGGAGATCAGGGAAAGGTCAGGGCTAATACATGTCAATATGTTATCAGAGAATTCAAAGTAGAAAAACAGCTCTGGTAAGAATTGTAAAAGAAACAAACCATAAATAATACCACCTTGACTATATATATATCAACAACAGCCATTGCTGTTCTGAACAGCCCAGCTAGCAACTTGCCCAGTCTGGGCTGCTCACATGTTGATGAGCCAAAGATACTCTGGGGGCAGAGATTCCCCCCGCAGACCAATCACAAAACACTACTACTCACTTCTGCTAGGAAAGAACACCACTGTAGGGTGCATTTGTTAAATGAACGAATTGGAATATACAGAAAATAAGTTTTGCAGATGTGAAAGTACAGTTACCAACATTTCAACAGGTTTTGGTTTTAAAAAAGGGAAAGGCATTCCACTTCCCCCACTTCCTGTATACATTATGTATACTGTTAAAGCTCATTCCCATCTTTATTTTCAACAGGACTCAATCATTAGATATCATTTTTAGGGTGCAGAATGAAGTTCAGTGGCTGACCTAGCCGCACAAAGGAGCTCAATCTTCTTTCCACATGTAGATATCCTCTTCCTTCAATTCAGCACTGCAAAAAATAACCTCACTGAGCCACTTGAATGAACTTCAAAAGGGGACTTCAACCGCTCACCTGGATACAAGCCAGAGGCTCATTTGTCCAAATCGAATATCCGCCAACTAAGTATATTCTCTCATTATGGACAGCAACTCCAGATTCATTTTGGCCTAAAGTAAAGAGAATTGAATAAAAGAGGAAAAATAAATCCATTTCCTTGCATGTCTTAATTAACCCTTTTGCCACTGAGGAGGGGTAGTCTTCCCCTGTGGCACACAAGTATACTCCACAGGATTTTTGCCGCAACTAACCCCTGCCTCCCAGGTCTCAGAGGGAAGAATTAACCACTCTCAGAGAATGAAGCTGTGTTGGGTCAGAACTGGGTGATAACACTTAACAGCCAGTCAAATTAGGAAATACAGCATTAAAGACAGCAATAATAAGCCATATAGAAGAGTTTAATGCCATGTTGTATACCATTAATTAATACTAATGGAAATAGAGTATATTTGAGGAATGTAGAACACCTTGTTCTACTGAATACAAATACTTCTAAGGCAAGTGCTTACATCTGTAACGGCTGCAACCCCAAGAAGCGAATAACACAGAGCCATGCCCCTAGCGTGCCCCAAATGAAGACAAATGACAGAAGACGACTGATAGTTACTACTTTCCTTTTTCTTTACATACACAATAGTTTTAAGACTATATTATAAAGTTCCTGAGCTGGGACCAGCCTGGGTAGTCCCTAGATATAGACACGCCAAAATGATAAAAGGTTCCTCCTCCATTAAAAAAAAAAAGAATAACTCACTACCACATATTCTTCCGTGGAGGCCATCAGAGAGTGAGACAGTCTCTTCTTATTGATGGGCTGACACAGAACTGACTCGGGTAATAAATAAGCTGGATCCTATAGCAGACAGAATCACAGATCGAGGGACCGAGGGGCTAAGGTACCACTACAGGAACTTAGAGTTAAGTGCTTGTAGGTGGGCCTCAGATCATTTTGCAGAAAAACAGGAGCTCAGTATAAAGCATCTAACCCTCTCACACTGGTTAGGCCCCCAACGTGGCCTCCTCAGCAGCGGCTGTGAGCACCCACTCAGCGTATTAAAGTGCCTCCAGGCCACAGTCCTGCCCACCTTTTGAGTCTGTGACCTTAATGGAAGGGAAGGGATCTTAATAACACACGCCAAGAAGGGAGGAAGTTTTCAATGTCATAAAAAAATGTCAGGGCTGGGCTATTCGCTGCTTTCTTTTCATTCACTTTGGGATGAGGATGGTCCCTCCCTAGTGCTGCTCGTGGTGATGGCTGGATAGGTGTGGTCAGAAGTGCTGCCAAACCCCTACGCATAGAACATCTCCAGCGTTTTCTCTTTAGGAAAATACAGGCGAAAAACGATATCTGACAGTGATAAACAGTATAGGCCATTCTCCTCAACTCATAAGAAATAAGACTAAAAGTGAGAAGAGAAAAATAAATTGCTCCTATAGAGTCATTAACTCTTTCAGCACCTGATCCCTCCTACTTATACCAGTGTTCCTACATGAATATTGATTGACAGTAATGGACTTGACATGCCTCTCTCGACAGTGTGAGAACACACACAAAGGTAAACACAGGCCCTGAGAAACTGGATGCTCAGCCAGTGGACTGAGTCAGAGATAAACAATGTTCACCTTTGGTAATAAAACCAAGTTGTTCTACTATCATGCAGTTAATATTTAGAGCTGCCCTCAAGATGTCTAAAAAACCAAGTGTGTCAACTTCCTGAACCTCTTCTTTCTCCTAATTTACTTAATCAAAGGTACTTGCCAGTCAACAGGTTAAAACCGCAGCGCGTCCACTGGTCAGTGTCTATGTTGTAGGCATCAATGTGCCGCACAAGGACCCGGTCGTTATTGTAACCCAGGTCATTGCCTCCAAGGACATAAAGCTTCCTCTGAACGGCGGCCATGGAGTGGTAGACCCGCCTCTGCAGCATGGGGCTGCGGCTTATCCACTTATTCTGCAGAGAAAAGAAAGGCAGGCCAACTGTTAGCTGGAGCTGTCCATGGCAGAAAACAGCAGTGCCTCATCAGTAGTTGCCAGTGGACCACAGTCTATTTAAATAGTGTCTACTTAGTTTGAAAGGAATGGGTGTCTTACCGGAGAACAAGTGCAGAAGATCCTACAAGTTCTAACTCTGTTTTGCAATTTACATAAGGCATTTCCTCTTGTTTGGGCTGCATTTTAGAGGGCATTTTGCATTTCTAAGAGGAGCATATGAGGATTTAGAACTTTTCATGATAGTTATCTCCCAGTTGAGAGAACATACTCCTACAAATGACTTAGGAGTGCACATGCGTAGGTATTTGTGTACAGTGGTGTAATGATAACAAAACAGGCTCTGGATCCAGGATACCGAGTTTATAATTTGTGTGTGAGCTTGGCAATTTACTTAACCTGTCTGTGCCTGCTTCCTCCTCTGTAAAACGGAGATAACAGCACCCAACTGACAAGCCTGTTGTGAGGATTAAATGAGCTAATGCACCTAAAGCATTTCGAACACTGCCTGGCACACATGTCTGATAATGTGCACTTTAGGAAACTTGATTTAGCTCATACCTGAATGGTCTAGTGGTTTTCCCTATTTTCTCCAATTCAAGTCTGAATTTGGCAATAAGGAGTTCATGATCTAAGCCACAGTCAGCAATGGAATGTGAAGTCAAGTGGGCCTTAGGAAGCATCACTACGAACAAAGCTAGTGGAGGTGATGGAATTCCAGCTGAGCTATTTCAAATCCTGAAAGATGATGCTGTGAACGTGCTGCACTCAATATGCCAGCAAATTTGGAAAACTCNTTGGCTTAAAGCTCAACATTCAGAAAACTAAGATCATGGCATCTGGTCCCATCACTTCATGGGAAATAGATGGGCAAACAGTAGAAACAGTAACAGACTATTTTGGGAGGCTCCAAAATTACTACAGATGGTGACTGCAGCCATGAAAATAAAAGACACTTGCTCCTTGGAAGAAAAGTTATGATCAACCTAGACAACATATTAAAAAGCAGAGATATCCCTTTGCCAACAAAGGTCTGTCTAGTCAAGGCTATGGTTTTCCCAGTAGTCATGTATGGATGTGAGACTTGGACTATAAAGAAAGCTGAGTGTCGAAGAACTGATGCTTTTGAACTGTGGTGTTGGAAAAGACTCTTGAGAGTCCCTTGGACTGCAAGGAGATCCAACTGTCCATCCTAAAGGAAATCAGTCCTGAATATTCATTGTAAGGGCTGATGTTGAAGCTGAAATGCTAATACTTTGGCCACCTGATGCGAAGAACTGACTCTTTTGAAAAGACCCTGATGCTGGAAAAGATTGAAGGCGTAAGGAGAAGGGAATGACAGAGGATGAGATGGCTGGATGGCATCTCTGACTCAATGGACATGAGTTTGGGTAAACTCCGGGAGTTGGTGATGGACAGGGAGGTCTGGCATGCTGCAGTCCATGGGGTCGCAAAGAGTCGGACATGACTGAGCGACTGAACTGAACTAGGAAACTCACTGTGATGAAATCACTGGCTCACAGGGGACCGTGCATAAGCTAATGTAAGGGCAGCTTTGCCTGAGGTCAATGGAAGAGAAAAGTGTTGATTCAGCAACAAACCCCTCACAGCCTTTAATATATTTACACTCACATCTTCACCAAATTGGGAAAAGTTATTTCCAGGCATATTGTTATTTGGTCTTGTTACAGAAGACCATTTCTTTAGGAAATGGTGAAACCTCTAATGTTTGGTTTTATATCACTCTCAGGATTAAGAAAAGTATCCTCAACTCCTCTCTAATAAGGTTATTTAAAATATAAAAATAGGTGAAAATCAAATATGACTTTAATTTAAATATCAAGTAATGGACAGGTAAATAAGCCTAACCATTTTCTTTTTATATAAACACTAAACATACAGGAAGAACACAGATAATTTCTTTTTGCCAAGATAAATGTGGGTTTCGACCAGAAAAATCATGATGTTTTGAATACATACAATTTCACCAGTTCACAGAGGTATAAAGGCAGAATCAGAAAGGGAAAAAAAAGTTTTGTATAAATATTGGTCCATTCACTAACGGCATACTGACTGGCTCATTTCTCATTTCTCTTTTAAAGGTATACTCACAAGAAAAAAGAAAGTGGTTTGTCCAATTGTTTAAAGCTTGCATTCATCTGCTCCCCCAGTTTTTAAACATGTCGTAATAAGACTCTCCTTCCAATTAATTTTATCTTTAATAAAACAGTTAAACCTTTCTTTTAGATATTCTAAGAGCTACCTTTAATACATTACACATGAGTGGATTTAACTCCAGACACTGATGGTGCTTTCTGTAGGTGCTTTCTATGAGGCAACGCGCCACAGTACGAGGAAGCAATGCTTGCACTGGCAGTCCAGTCCCCTGCCACAGGACTATGGATGCCATCTGGTTTGCAAAGCCTGCCTGCATCCCCTGATTATATCTTTAGCTTCCTTCACTGCCGTGCCTTCCAGGTGAGCCGCCAACCGCTGCAAAGGCAGAGAAACAGAGAGGCCTGGTGGGGTCATCCCTAATAAGCTAGCGTGTGAATACTAATCAGTGCTGAGGAAGCAGGGGTCAGCCCGGCCTGCCTGTCTGGCAGGCAGCGATGTGCTCTGTGGCAGATGGCAGGCATTACTGACTTTCCACAAAGGCCTAGAAGAGAAATAAGCACCAGGGCTGGATGATAGAGTTATTGAGATTCTGAGCAAGATGCAAGCAGATGTGATGTTTGCCAGTACCCACCGTAAACAATATGCCAGCAGAATTTTAAAAAAGAGCATGTGTGTACAAACATGAAACAGAACTCATTTGAGAAATGTTAACACCTTCTTCCTCTTTAACCACATGTGCACCAAACTCAAGCAACTGTAATTAATGATCCCCCTTGAGACACCCAGCCCAGGAACACATGGTCTCCCAAATCGACAGCTTCTAATGACACCAGGAAACACACTTGCAAAGACAGAAATACTTTTGTTACACTCAGAATCAAGGAATTGTAAAAATTAAGATACAAAATAGACTGAGGTCACTCTGAACATTTATTTGATGGCTAATCCCGACCTAGACTGTCAAAGCCAACCTGTTGTTTCCCAGTTCCATTATCTTCAGCTGATGAAGATTTGACCTCCAAATCATTTTGGAATATTGTCATAACCAGGAAAAATACTTACATTACCAAAATCACAGAAATGGCAAAATTCAGCAAACATGTGTCACAGTTACAGATACTTTGGTAGAAGAGAAAGAAAAATAATTCTTCTTTTATGGGGAAAGAAGTCATGAAATGTGCATGAGAAGTGGGCAGAAGGGACAGGCACCATCCCAGTGTGCCCAGTCCAGGCCCAGCTCTTAGATGAAAAACATACTCCAACTCTTCAGAAACTTCTCCTTCAGATTTATCCTTTGCAATGCCCTGGGATATGCTGACTATACAGGGTTAAATAAAAGTTACTGTTTATTTGGGAATAACAAAACCATAAGCGTGCTCCCCTCCTAGAATGACAAGCCTTCTCAAAGGCTGCAGCAACAGGACAATGCAAATCCTTTCTTAGGAAATCTCAAAGACACTTGAGATAAATGGAAATAAGGGCATTTAACTCATCAACATATTTTCCCTCTTTCCTACATTATGCAAACTCTGAAAGAGTTAAGCATTGAGTAGAGCATAAAACAAAAAGAGCTGAGATTTCATGTTTTGTAAGGGGGAAAAAAAAAAGCAACCCAAAAGCAGTTTATCAAGATGCTTCCTTTTCTGTATATAAGTTTAAGATGCATGTGTGTGTATAGACTTGGCATTCCAACTCCTAATTACTGAAGGAATCTTTAAAAATTCATTTTAATTAAGGTAATGAACTTTTCTTAGATGAGTCTTACCTGGTTAGGTTCATATACCATTAGTCTGTTCTGATATTGTGCCGTGTTAGTTACTCCACCTGTAATGGATTAGCACGTGTTAGCGCTTTCATGAATAAGAAATGGGATAGTCCAACATAAGAATGAGATACAATTAAAGCAAAATTAGCTACTGCTGAGGATCTGTTTGTACACCCTCATGGTAAACCCATGACATAGTTAAGCTTATTGTTGAAGCAGTTTCGTTTTCAAGAAACAGTTCAGAAGCAATCCAGTTGAGAGCAAGCAACAAGTACGCTGAGATTACCACGAGGCGCCCAATTCTGGCAAGCTGCTCTGCATGGCCAGAATGAGGAGCAAAATGTGGTGAGGGAGTGGGAGCAAGCATAGCACACTTAACATAAATCTCTACACTATTTATGCCAGGGACATAGTTATATGGAAAACTCTTGTCCTTGGCTAACTTGGTCATCTTATAGCTTAGTCTTAGGTGTGCTAACACAGTGAACAGTAATATCTTCTTTTTTTTAAGACTTTTTGATGTGGATCACTTTTAAAGTCTTTATTGAATCTGTTACAATATTGCTTCTGTTTTACATTTTTTGGCTTTGTGGCCCAGAGGCATGCAGGATCTTAGCTCCCCAACCAGGGATCGAACCCATACCCCCTGCATTGGAAGACAAAGTCTTAACCATTGGACTGCCGGGGAAGTCCTGACACAGTGATATCCTGATGTCTCTTTGGAAGAACCATCTCTAAAAAAACACATTACTTATCAAAAGAGATCTAGAGCCAGTGCTGTCCAATAGAATAAGCACCACAAACAGGAGTCACATATGCAATTTTAATTTTTCCAGTAGTCACATTGAACAGAAAAAAGAAATCCTTTACTTTAAACTTAATATGAATTTAATTTAACTCTGAATAATAATCCCCCCCTTATCTCTGAGGGATACATTCCAAGATCTGCAGTGGATGCCTGAAAGTGTAGGATGACACCAAATACTGTATGTACTTTGTTTTTCCTATATTTACATATACCTATGATAAAGTTTAACTTACAAATTAGGCACAGTAAGAGATTAACAACAATAACTAATAATGAATTTGAACAATTATAAAAATATACTCTAATAAAAGTTACATAAATGTGGACTCCTTCTCAAAGTACCTTATTGTACTGTACTTCTGATGATGATGGTATGGATGATATAACCTACTTGATGAGATGAAGTAAGGGGAATGACATAAATCATTTATGAAGCTTCCTACAAGTTTAACAACCCAGGAATATCTTCCTTGAAGACCTGGGAGCCATCCCATTGAGATATTATCATCAAGGAAGATAATGTTCCCATCTCTCAGTTTCTATGGAGGCTAGGAGCCTAATTCTGAAGGATGCAAATCAGGAGACACAAATGACCAAACCACACAGAAAAACATTTACAGATTCAGGGTAACTGAATGTGCTCAACACATCACACGGATCAACCTTCCTCCAAAAGTACTTCGGTATATTTCATCTAGTTCACCCCAATGCTTAAAACCCTATTGTTTTTCAGAGGAGTTGACTTCAGACTGCATTCTAATCTCCTTCCCCTAGTGCAATAGTCTTGGATCAAGTCTCCCTTGTCTGTTCAACTTTGTCCAGTAAAATTTTTGCTTTGGTAGTTCAAATACTTTGGATAGGTCATGACTGTCAACTCCATGGCCAGAAGTCAAATCAACCAACCACCACAGAATTAGTGCATCAGCTTAACAAAAGTGGAATTATCAACCAATACTAATGGATATATAAAGGAGAGGAAACAGCCCAGGCCAACCATTACTGTCTTAATCCCTGTAAGGAGAGTGTATCTTTCATGTAACTGACCATAGCTACTATTAACTGGAAGGCTTTTTTTTATAAGTTCTCTCTGAAGCTTGCAACCACTTTCAAGATCAAGCAAAGTGGTTTGTCTGCAGAAGAAATCCACAAAGAACAGAGAGAAATGAGCTTCCTTCCCTCAAACAGTCTTCTCTGGATTTCTCACTGAATGTCTCATTTTTAAAGATGAAATCAAAGAAAAAGATAATACACTTAAGAAAGCTGAGGCTGAAATACCTATGTAGAGTCAAAACATATGTCAAATACAGAGGGATGTTTGCTTTCCCCTCAACCTTCCTTTATTTTATCTGATTAAAAATTGAATGTCCAATAATTCTTTCTCAGCCTAACTACAGAAAAGTAATCAAATCTATTGAGACCTCACAAGTCTTCAGGGTTAAAATAATTGCCAAGTGCTTTTGATCTGGCCCATAACCTCCAGATTAATGTCCAGCTTGCCTATAATCATTTCTCCAAATGAGAGGGAACAGAAGGTGAACTCCCCCCACATTATTTCAAAACTCTGACAGCTTCTCTACTTGTTTTAGAAATATGAGACAGAATTAATATCTACTGCAGTAAACTATCTGTTTATGACACCATTTGAAGATATTTACACTACAATACGTATCAGACTCTGCCCATTATAGATTAAATGTACAACCAATGGATTAGAATGCAGCCACTGCACCCTCTCTCCCAAGCAGGGCACACCACCACTTATCTTCCTGCTTTTCAGAATTACTGTTTATTGTCTTCCTCAGATGCCTTTATAATACAATTTTCCCCCTTAATCTGCGCCCAGTAATTAGATTCCTTACCCTTACATACAAATTTTCACTCTTATGACAATGTTTAGAAATGAGATATTGGGTTACTAGTTGGGGGTAAGAATAAAAGTCCTAGTTAGTTACTTGGTTGATTACTTCTAGAATGTTAAACCACAGGAGGTGCTTAAAAAGCCGAGTGCTGTAACTTTTGCCAAGTCAGGGTGGCAAGGGGAAAACCTTAAGAATTGGTTCTATTGCTTTCCCCCTTTGAAACAACTTACAAATGAGCATATAAATAAAAAGCATTTCTTCTCAGTACAAAAAATAAATTTTAAAAAAGCATCCAAGTTTGCAGCCCACATTTCTCTAGCAGTATTACTCATTTTCAGAGCTTTATCATTACATTCCCTTCACATAACACTCTTCACTTTTAGATTAATCTTCTGAAATGAGATGCTAAGGATTTGCATACAGATTTGACTATACAAAAATAGATATGGAATTAATAACAGTCTCTATATGTTTTAATTTCTCCTAGACTGGAGTACCCTTGCCTGCAGCAGTATTCCTGGCTCTGAAAGTCATCCAGCTGATTTGTCTGCTCTGGGTTATGATGCCACATGCTGCTATACTGTCCCCTGAAATCAAAGCACTTGCAAAGATAGATTCCATGCCTCCCTCTATTGAGTATATTTTATAGATTGGCAGTTTTGATCTCCCTCCCCCACCCCAGGGGGGATAATCTGCATCTTAACAGCTTTCTATAGATACATCTGTCATTAAATATGCCATCTCGTATCAGCAACCATTTTTAAAGCCAAGTTTTCCCTAACTTTGAAGTGCCAGAGTCAAAGTTAAGACTTTTCAGCCAAAATTGAAAATGAACAACCCTGTCTTATACTTTTGAACTGTGACTTAAAGATATACGGCAGGTTCCCTCAAAGTCAAATAAGTCTTTAAAAACTGCCAGCAGGAAATGAAAAGTTACCAACATGCTACCAGCAGTGAGAAATGCTTTCTATCATCACGACAAGAGTAAAACATTTTTCTTACACTTTCCTGTTCAACATCCCACAAAACGTTGTGACAAATGGATGAGTGCATGCCAGGGAGAAGACGACAGGTGACTGCCAAACAAACAGCCTTTGTCTCCACTACTGCGAGCTCACTACTCCTAAATTCGTTGTGCTCGAAAGCAACAACTCACCAATGCTGACAGTGTCTGTAAAATAGTGTGGGTCAATATATGTCAGTCAGGTTAGGTCAAGTCTGTTGGCTCTGCCTTTTTTTTTTCCCCCCACTATCTTTGCTCAAATTGCTCAAATTTGGAGTATGCTCAAATTCATGTCCATTGAGCCAGTGATGCCATCCAACCACCTCATCCTTTGTCACCCCCTTCCCTTCCTGCCCTCAATCTTTCCCAACATCAGAGTCTTCTCCAATGAGTCAGCTCTTTGCATCAGGTGGCCAAAGCATTGAAGCTTCAGCATCAGTCCTTCCAATGACTATTCAGGTTGATTTCCTTTAGGGTTGACTGCTTTGATCTCCTTGCTCTCCAAGGGACTCTTGAGAGTCTTCTTCAACACCACAATTCGAAAGCATCAATTCTTTGGCATTCAGCCTTCTTTATAGCACACCTCTCGTAACCATACATGACTACTGGAAAAACCATAGCTTTGACTAGGTGGACCTTTGTTGGCAAAGTAATGTCTCTGCTTTTTAATATACTGTCTAGGTTTGTCATAGATTTTCTTCCAAGGAGCAAGCGTCTTTTAATTTCATGGCTGCAGTCACCATCTGCAGTGATTTTGGAGCCCAAGAAAAGAAAATGTCACTGTTTCTACTTTTCCTCCATCTATTTGCCATGAAGTGATGGGACCGGATGTCATGATCTTCTTTTTTTGAACGTTGAGTTTTAAGCCAACTTTTTCACTCTCCTCTTTCACCTTCATCAAGAGGCTCTTTGGTTTCTCTTCACTTTCTGCTATTAGGGTGGTGTCATCTGCGTATCTGAGGTTGCCGATACTTCTCCTGGCAGTCTTGGTTCCAGCTAAGAGCACGGACACATCCAGTTCTTTGCACCCTGCTCTGTTCCAGCAGGGGTACTCCCACCACATTAGGTACCACAGATTCCTGCCAAAGACTTCAGTACTCTCTACTTAGCAACGGAGATCCCTGAAAAAAAAAAAAAAAGCAGGGCCAACAGACTTGACCTAACCTGACTAACATATATTGACCCACACTATTTTACAGACACTGTCAGCATTGGTGAGTTGTTGCTTTCGAGCACCACGAATTTAGGAGTAGTGAGCTCGCAGCAGTGGAGACAAAGGCTGTTTGTTTGGCAGTCACCTGGCATCTTCTCCCTGGTATGCACTCATCCATTTGTCACAACGTTTTGTGGGAAGTTGAATAGGGAAGCGTAAGAAAAATGTTTTACTCT